GGTAGGAGAAGCAGTCAAGAAAGTGAGAGAACATGACATGAGAGGACAAGGGAGGGCCTGTAGGCCATAGACACAATCTGATTCTCATTGTAAGACAAAATTGGCATCTCTGCTGACAACAGCAACGGCAGCGGGAGTAAGACAGAAGCAGGACACCCATTAGGGGTGACTCCAAGAACACAGGGTGCTTCTGGCTGCCATTCTGTTCGTTTGTTTATTTTGAGACAGGGTCTCACTGTGTAGCCTGGAACTCACTATGTAGATCAGGCTGGCCTCGAACTCACAGAGATCTGTCTGCCTCTGTCTCTGCCTCCTGAGATTAAAGGGCTCTGGAACACAGTCTTGACAGAACTGGAGGTAGAAGGGGGGATTTACTAACAGCTGATGGGAAAATTTAACAATTTATTATATCATTTAAAAACTTAAAAAACTAAAAAGAAAAACTGATTTATACAAATCTATCTTGTACTATCTTTCAAAAGTGGTATTTTCTTAAAAGCTCCCATCTAAAACCATACAGACATTAGGTCCATCTATGCTCATCTCTAAACCTCCCCTCTGGTAAAGCCTGTCCTGAAGCAAAGGAATCTCTTTATGCATCATCTAAGTAGAGGAACACTTAATCAATCTGTTCTACAATTCATTTCTCCTTCTGTTCAGCACACAGTGGTCTCTTCATCATTGCTATGGGCAGGATTTTACAAAAACACTTCTACTATCAATGCCATCTTCAGTTTAAAGACTGCAATTTCTCTATTTAGAAAAAATCTTTGTATCTAGAGCTATAACCTCCCTCTCACAAACTGTCATTGAAAAAAAACAAGAAAAAAACATAAGGAGTAAAGCAGAAATTCTAATGATGCTCTAACCATTTTTAAAAAGCAAAGAAAGCTTTCCCCCATACAAAATTTAATGCCTTGATAATCACTATGCATTTACCTATACTACTATCATTAGAGTTCTTGAGGTCCTGAGATGTAGACCTGCAGACCACAGGGCTTTGGTTGGCTTCTATTTTAAACAATAAACAATCAAGTAGTTTTGTAAGAATTAGTAGAGGACTGATGCAATATTGCAGCTAAAATGCTTTAAAATAGTTTTTTTTTTACTCGACAGCTAGTATTTTATTCAGATAGCAGTCTCATTACATGTGGTTCAAGAACATTCAAATAAAAACTCAAATAAAATCAGATGTTAAAGATCAGCCTTCAAACATCATAGCCTATGATGCCACGTTTGCCTATGATCTCTCCGATATAAAACCACATCCACACCTCAGTGGTGACCAAACCATTCAGCATAGCTTCCTTAACTGTAAGCTGTTTGAAGCTACCAGTTTTACCACTTTGAATTATTTTTTTTGCACTCTGAATAGCTGCAGGGAGTTCAGCAGGGGTTGGGGGAACCAGTTCAACCTTGGCGTAGTACCAAAATGTGGCCAAACGAGGCTTCGAGTAAGTCACGGCAGCACTTACTAGCGCCGGGGCCTTCTCTGCGAAGTTACGGACAAACTTGGCCATGGCCTAGGGTGGAAGGTCGGTCTCCTCGCACCACCGGCTGAATGTCACCCTCGAAAGGACCCGTGGCAGGCCCTTTAAAATAGTTTTTTAAAATTTATTTTATATGCATTGGTGTGAAGGTGTCAGATCCTATAAAACTGGGGTTACAGACAGTTGCGAGTTGCCATGTGGGTGCTGGGAATTAACCTGGGTCCTCTGGAAGAGCAGCCAGTGCTCTTAACCATTGAGCCATCTCTCCAGCACCTAAAGGCAATCTTATTGCTAAGAAAGAAGTTCTCGAACACTACTATACAGTTGAACTGTAAGATTGTTTTTTTAAAGAATACAAACCCTTGTAGAAACTCTTTAAGCATGCAGCAAAACCAAAGGCAGTAACTGATCCAAGGAGCAGCATGGTTATCATCTCATGATCATGCTTGTGTCTTCTACAATATTTAATATTAACTTCATTAACAATATATGTAATAGTAACATAATTAATAGAACTGAAGTCTCCATCCTTTAAATTGACAGTGTTCTACACCACATTATCCTAACTCTACACTGTTATTTTTTGTAAGATGTTTTTACTTATCAAGAGTTTCCTTTTAAACTAGTTGTGGTGGCATATGCCTTTAATCCCAGTGGAGGCAGGAGATCTCTGTGAGTTTTAGGCCAGGTTATATACCTAGACCCAATCTCAAAAGAAACAAAAAGTAAACAAAAAATTCACGTGGTAAACTCTAGTGTCAAGGATTTCAATAAGAACAGTCAGACATGGCAGAGACTAATGCTGTGGCTGGCAACTCACCTTCACTGCCTGACTCTTTGTGTTGATAGGGGGGTTCTTCAGAGCTGCCTGGAGCGCAGCTGTCATGTTTCCTGTAATGACAGTTAAGGGGATAACAACAAAGGACAGGCCCTGCTTTACAGAACTATTTTTTATTAAGACTTGACTTCCTATAGTAACAAAAATTACTATGGACATTATGTTCGATATTAGAAACTGCATTTGTTTATTTCTAATATGTCAATCAAAGGTTAACATCAATTAAGAGAATATAGGAATTATTTTTAAAGCAAAGATATCTTAACTTTGGTCCCCATCAAAGACATTACACTTTCTAGGGAAATACACACAATTGTCTAGATAGGTATTCAAGAAACCTTAAGCCGGGCATTGGTGGCACACGCCTTTAATCCCAGCACTAGGGAGGCAGAGGCAGGCGGATCTCTGTGAGTTCCAGGCCAGCCTGCTCTACAGAGCGAGTTCCAGGACAACCTCCAAAGCAATACAGAGAAACCCTGTCTCGAAAAACCAAAAAGAAAAAAGGAAAAAAAAGAAACCTTAAAATTTGCATCATCAGATTATTAGGTCACCAACTGAAGCAGCCTACAAACCAACAAAGCACAAAGTATACCATCTTATTTGTGTGTAATTCTTATCGGAAAACAACTCTAAACTTTATACAGAAACTACACTATATATTAACTGAAATGCTGGCTGATTACTCTGGCAATCAGAACGGAACAGGCAATAGCTTAATATTGATGAACAGGGCCACTGGAGCTGTAATAATCCACATCACCTGTAGGTGGCAGCCTACTTTTTTTCCTACAGGTTATTCGAAACTGGGCTGGACCATTCATACCTATTCAATCAGGCTCTGAAAGCACTAGTGAGTTAGCAAGCATGGGAAACGGAAAACCAATCAGACTGTCAGAATAGGCAGTCATTTCCCTAAAAGGAAAACCAAAGAGTCACTTGTTCCTCCGTCTGATTGTAGTACCCAACCCGGGCTGTATCTCCTAGTTATAACGAGAAATTGTATCTTTACATTTTAAGATGGGTCGCCAGAAATTACCTAAAATACATTATTTTAATAAAATATCACATACCCATCATAAAGATTTTTTTAACAAAGAGCAATGCTCACCACTTCTACGGAAAAGTCCTAATAAAAATTATTTACAGTCGGTGATAAACTACTCTCAAGGCTGCATGGTTTTCTAAACAACACTTTTTAAAAGAAAAAAAGTCCAAGTATTTTAATAAATAAACAGGTTAGTAGTAACTGATGTGGAAGTTTTGGTAATAAAAGTTAAACCTATATGACATATGTATGTTCGATATTGTAGTTATCACTAAATATTTTTGCTCACTTATTTGTTGTTTCAGTATAATCTTGTAGAAAATTGACGAGGAAAGAGCTGTATGAACAGACTTAACGAGTGCGATTTTTCTAAAGCTACAATTTGGGTTTTTGCAACATTTCGATTTTTCTAAGAGATCGATGCAAATGAATTTCAGGGTTATGAATATTCAGATATGCAAACTAAGGAATCAGGAACTGACAGCCATATTTTAATTCGAATGGAAACAATTTCAGAAAAACGATTTTGGTTTCAAGAACGGACTCATCCTCCGTTTTCTTCACTGGGGTTCATCTTAAATATTGCCAGGGATTCACCACATGCATTCCCTAGCCTTTTCCTATTGGCTTTTTCTTAGCAAGTAAAGGCTCCAAGCTTTGACTGGGAATTTTGGAGAAGAAAACTCCCTTCGCTCTGTTAATGAATTATGTGCAACCTTGCCAAATCCTTTTCTCTAAGAGTGATGATGAAGAGAGAAGCCCACGGGCTGAATGTACCGAGGGCCTCAATTTGCGAACCACTCCATCTCTCCCGGCTAGGAATTAACTATCTCACCGCTCTGCAAACCACACGCCCGACAGAAAAGCCGACTCCAAGCGGGACGCCCGCGTCCCCACCAGGTACCCACTGGGGCGCCGGCCGGTCGCCCGCGAGGGCGCGGCCGCTGGGGCGGCGCACCTGAGGAATCCGGGCGCCCGCAAGTTCGCGAGCACGGCTCCGGGAGCTCCAGCCCTCCGTCCCCACCCAGAGCCTCGCGTCCCCACGGCCCCCGCGGGAGCAAGGATATTGCCGCAGGCATGAGTCCACCTCGCTCTCGTCGGGCCCGGCCTGGCCATCGCCGCCGTCCTCCTCGTCCACGAACTTGTTCTCATCGTATTCGTCCACGTCCACCTTCCGGAAGCGGGCCGACGACACCGTGTTCTTCGACATCCCGGATCGCGATGCTACGCTGGCCTCCCCTCCGCGGTGCCTCTTGCCTTTTGCGAGCCCAGCCCGGCGCGACTCACTTCCCTCTTCCGCTCTGGGGCGTCGCCGGTAGCCGGCGCTTGCTCGCTTCTGGGCCTGCGCGCCAGCCTGGCCCGGCTTCCTCCTCGGCTTCGAGCTCTCCTTCAGCCCCCGCCCCGCCCCCGCGTCCCCGGGGGAGCGCGCGTCGGCCCGGGAGCGCGCGGGACGCACCGCGCACGCGCGGACCCGTTGCAGGAAAGGGGCGGGGCCGATGGAGGAGGCGGGGGCGGCGGGCGGACGGAAAGCTGGCTGAGGCGGCGACGAGACGCGATTGGCCGCCGGGGAGCGTCACGTGACACGGGAGGTTCCCATAGAAACGCTTTTCTGCGGTCCAGCCTTGTGGGGGGGGTCTTGGGTTGGAGGCTATGGGCACCTGGGGCGCGTGGCCCGGCCTGCTGCCGCCGCCGCCGCCGTCCGTGCCCGAGGCTTGTTGTTGGGGTCCGGTGTGAGGTCTGGGTGACCGGACTCGGGCGTGGGGTGGGATGGACTGGCTGCAGGACCTAGTCCCCTGCAGTCACCGGGAGCATGAGGCGGAGTGATGCTCAGCTGGGCGCCCAGCACGGAACTAGTGATCGAAGCCCTCCCTGCGGACCGAGCGCAGCCAGGGGCTGCGTTCCTGAGCTGAGAGCCCCTTCCCGGGTTTGGGATCCCGCCGCGCTGTCGGCGGGAGATCCCCAAGGACGGAGTCGAGAGGTCACTTCTTACCTGTGTGACAGACAGCATCGCTGCCGGACCTGCAGAATCTAAACTCGGTATTCTCTCCATCCGGAGGGAGGGAAAGACGCTTGGGTTGGAGCTGGGGACGGGTGGCGAAATTGGGGCAAACTTGTAGCATTCTGTAAAATCAGCCATCACATCTTAAAAATAAGTAGTTATTTGGAGCAAGAATGCCAGAAGAGGGTGGGCGAGTTAAGGCTCTTCAGTGCTGAGGGAAAACAGCATGTGCAAGGATTAGTAGAAACTGGACTTTCAAGGTTGATATTTATGGTTTAAGGTTCCTGGGAGCCTGTCAAGTTGTTATATTCTACATCCCCGTTTGTGAGATCAGAGCTCTTATTGAGGAGGGAGAGGCACTAAGACTAAAGAAATAATAGCTGTGCTCTGTGTATTATACTGTATAGTACAAGTATTTACAGAATAAAATTAATTCCGGCGCTTGGCTGTGCCCTGCTTGGATGCAGGTTTACCTGCTTTCACATATAACAGAAGGTTGGATACGGTCCTGTGAGTTACCCCATTCCTCGTTTGCTGTGCTGTACTGAAAAGAGCAGTGGGCTTGGGATTAGAAAACTGGCTGAAGTCTCGATTTTCTTAAACTGCTTAATTGAGGCACATTGCTTAACGTTTGGAACCTCGGATTTCTTACTGCAAAAATGGGGCTAATGTACACTTCACAGGAATGTTCCCAGGGTTCGATACGCGGAAATGCTTCAAAAAGACTCTAAAATTCTGTGTATACGTGCAATGTGATAATTGGTTCTGTAGAACTAGCTTCATAAATTATTTGATGATATGTCGTGTTCTATCTCACTGGTGAAAGAGATCCCAATATTCTGAAGGGTAGAGTCCAAGTTTTCTTATGTATCCTTTTTTTTCCCATGAAAAATAATTAGGTATTCAGAAGGTAGTCAGTACATGCTTGATGAGTTAGTAAAATATAAAAGGCAATACAATTTGAGAGCCACACTGAAAATAGGGAATCAGAAAGAGAAAGATCTCAGGATCAAACATTTGTTGAATATAGGCATACACACATGTTCAGATATATGAATGTGTTCATGTAGAGAGAGCACTGTAAGTGAAACTCATTCCTTTTCCTTGTGAAGCAGCAATGTGGTATCCCCCGTAAGTATATCATTTAGTTGACAGCAGTGACATTTCCTTGACTAGCATTCACATTATGAGCTCGTAAAAACGCTCATGTCTTAAGAGAACAAAGGCAGAAATACTTACTTTTAAAGTCGTTTGCCGAGGTATCATTATTATGATGATGGCATTATGTAACTTAGAATAAATATTTAAATATTTTTTTCTGTTTCAATCTTGTGTAACTTTCATAAAACTACACAGCATACTCTTTTAGATGTTAAGGCTGACTGTACTTTTTGTTCTTTTAAATTAAGGTTTTCTTTGAAGAGAAAATTAAACATTAGATGCACTGTTGAGTGCAAATAGAAACAAGGATTTAAGAGCTAACACAATCTTAATCCCAAGTCTTAGTTTTTCCTATTGTCTTACTTGAATAATTTTTTGTTCTCTTATTTTAGAACTGGGGAAGAATTCTGGGGTAGAAATCAACTTAATGGAACAGTGAGGAATAAAAAAGTCAGTTGTTCAAGGATGTAATTATCTTGATTCCTGAATTTTGGTCCATGTGTGAACTGTTAAAGGCGACGGTGTTTTTTGTTGCTGCTGTTTGCTTGCTTGCTTTGTTTTCTGTTTTTCTTTTTAAGTAGTGCCTCATAGTGAACTAAGTGCCTAGGATGTAGTGGGTAGTCAGCCAATTAATGATCTCACAAATTAATTCAAAAGTAACATTTAAAAATTGAGTATTTTAATGGATACACTACTTCCTTGCCTCTCCTTGGCCAATATTTAATTTTTTTTACAAGATTTAAAGGAAATGCTTGTCTCTGAAGAAACCTGTTCTTAATTTATCTTCTAATTAGAAACTGCACAATATTTTTCTTGTAAATTCTAAATTTTACTGTTATCCATGATACTTAATTGATTCTAGGTAATTTTATTCTCTTTGGGTTTTTCAAATGACTGCTTTCCTCTCATACAAAGGATTTGCTTGGTTTAAGATGTATTTATTATGCAAATAATTAGGTTGTCTTCCACATTAAAGGAGACCGGATCTTAATTTCCTGGGATTACTGCTGCCTTTGTAGCTCCTTCTTTCTGTGATGTTGCAAAGAACCAAGGATCAGGGCCAGTGAGCTGGCGCAGCTGGTGAAGGTCCTTGCTGTGACGAGCAGAGTTCAGTCGCTGGGAACGGCATGGTGGCAGGAGAGAACCAACTAGAATGCACGAGTACAATGTGACTTATGTAGGTGTTAAGTGTGTATGTGTGTGTGTATCCCCTACCCCCATGTATGTTAAGAAGAAAAGGCCAAGGACCTAATGAAGTTGTCTTATGAGGTCTTTTTTATGTATCTTAAGCCAAGTACTCTACCTTTTCTGTGCTTTTATTTCCTCACAAACTCTTGCCACCAAATATTTAAAAAAATTTCCTTGAGCCCTGGAGCACAACACTATTGTTTTTTATTGTTTGAAGTGAGAAATGAACGTTAAAGCTGAGGATATAGCTCAGTAGAGAGCTTACACTTACTTGGTATGCATGATGCTTTGAGTATAATCCCTAGTACCTGAAGACAAAAAGTGAACTTTGTTAAGCTTGTACTACAAAATAAAAGAAATGAATTTCATGTCTGGTAATGACAGGTTAATACCACTGTTCTCAACATAATCCCTCAGTATAAAAATTTTAGCATGTTTTAATATGCTATGCTGTAGTTTGATGCTCCTACTAATGCACAAATCAACTTGTATTGTGAGGAAACCCTTTAAAATTCTTTGTCTTTGATTAGCTCTAGTTTTCATGCTTTTATGATTATATAGTGAAGTACAGCAGAAAGTTTCGTGATTTAATTGTGGAACCTTTGTATATTAGTACATACAAGATTGTAACTAATTATCAATCTGTGCTTCTAGGTATGTGTATATAAGAGTATATGGATGCTAGCATATGTGTGAACATGTGGAAGGTCAGAAGTCAACGCTGGGTGTCTTCCTCTATTCCTCTCCACTTTATTTATTTATTTTTGAAACAGGGTCTTTTATTGAGCCTGGAGCTCACCAGTTCCACATGACTCACTAGACAATAAGTCACAGGGATTCTCTTGTCTCTGCCTCCCTGGTGCTGGATTATAGGCTCAGTTTCCTACCCCAGTTTTTATGTGGGTGTTGGGGTCTAAATCCAGGTCCTCATGCTCGAACAGCAAGCAGTTCATCAACTGAATCATTTCCCCAGAAAGACTCTGGTCTTCCAAAGAATGGATACATTTTTTTTTAACATTGTAGAAGCCGAGCGTTGGTGGCTCACGCCTTTAATCCCAGCTCTCGGGATTGCAGAGGCAGGTGGATCTCTGTGAGTTTGAGGCCAGCCTGCTCTAGTTCCAGGACAGCCTCCAAAACAATATAGAGAAACCCTGTCTCAAAAAACAAAAACAAACAAACAAACCCAAAAAACCAAACCAAACAAACAAAAAACTTTGTAGAGAATGAGATATTAACTTTTATGATGATGTATGGATTTGAAAATAAATTGTTGGGGTTGGAGAGATGGTTGAACAGTTAAGTGTATGTACTTTTTTTTTCCCAGAGGATCCAAGTTTGGTTCCCAGCTCTCACATCAGATGTCTGACACCCCACCAGCTCTAGGGTATTTGATGTCTTCTGGAATCTGTGGACACCTTTAGTCATATGTGTTCATAACCTCCTCTGACTGAGTTGATCTCTGACTGAGTTGGCATAGAGATCAGCAGGCTATACAGTACAGGTGACATACCCCTAAAGATGGGTTCTATTAACTGCAAGCTAGGGAGGGAGAGTCTAGGATAAGCATTGTAAGGAATTTGGGTGAGGTCTGTCTCTATAGCAAAAGGTAGGTGAGGTCTGCTATCAGAGAACGCAAAAAGGTCATTAGGTCATTAACAATATCCACTCCCAGCTTTCTATGGGGGAAAACAGGTATTTTATCTCCTCCATTGAGGAGAGAGCCTGCATGTTTAACATTCCTGGTTTCCCTAGTAATCTGTGGGCAAAAAGACCGTTGCACCCCAACATCCTTACCAGTAACTATGTGAACAAAGTATTAAAAATCAACCTTTTCTCCTGTAATCTGATTATCAAAAATACTAGCAACACAGCTTTGTTCCAAAAAATAAATTCCAGGCTGGGGAGATAGCTCAGTCAGTAAAAAACTTGCCTTGCAAGCAAGAGGGACTGAGTTCAATTCCCAGAACCTACGTAAAGAGCTGGGCATAATAGAATGTGCTTGTAAATCCCCCGTGTTAGGGAGATGAGACAGGCAGGTTGCTGGGGCTTAGGAATAAACCAGTTTGGCCAAATCCATGAGCTTAGGCCAGTGAGGGGCCTGTTCCCCTCATCCCATGATTGAGGCAAGGCTGGAGAGATGGCTCAGAAGTTAAGGATGCGTATCTTTTTCGTAGAGGACCTGAGTTTGGGTCTAAGTGGGGTAGCTCAGGACCACTTGTAATTCTGGTTCCAGGAGATCTGACACCTCTGACCTCTCATGCTGTCAGTACTCATGTGCACATACCACACACACACACACATACACACACACACACACACACACACACACACACACACACACAATTAAACATTTTTAACAAGCAGAACTTAAAAATTCAAAACAACATGTGTGGATATTGATTGGGGAATGACACCCGAGACTGACTTTTGGCCTCCACCTGCTTTTACACATGTGCATGAGCAGTGAGTCCTCCATGTGTACTGCATGTACAAGCACATACATCAACCAGCACACCTACATGCATGCACCCCCCCCCCGCACATCATAACTCCTTTGAAACGCATAGGTGTTTGGTATTAAGCACATTCACATTGTAAAATCTTCACCACCACCCATCATTTGACAGATCTGAACCTCTAGACCCATTAAACAATAATTCCCCACTTTCTCCTGCCTCCAGCACCTGACAGGAACTGGTGTTACAGATGGTTGTAAGCTGCCATGTGGATGCTGGGAATTGAACTTTAGTACTCTGTAAGAACAACCAGTGGTTTTTTTTTTTCTTCTATTTGTTTGTTTTTTGAGATGGGGTTTCTCTGTGTAGCTTTGGAGCCTGTCCTGGAACTTGTTCTGTAGACCAGCAGGCTGGCTTTGAGCTCACAGAGATCCTCCAGCCTCTGCCTCCTGAGTGCTGGGATTAAAGGCATGAGCCACCACAGTCTGATCAGCCAGTAATCTTAATAACTGGGCCATTTTTCTAGCCCCATGGTTCTATTTTATATAACAAATACCACATTTTATTTACCCAGTCATGTGCCAAGGGACACTTGGTTTATTTGTGGTAACCTGTTATTGTGAACATGGGATCCTAAGATCCTCACTTTCGGGTCTTGGAGGTATATAAGAAGTGAATTTCTATGGTAGTTTTGTTTGCTTTTAATTTTAACAAATTGTAAGTGATATGGTCTTCATTCCATTTCCTTGGATGCCCTATTTGGCACACCACAGAATCAGACAGTCCTGGGGTCTGTGTTTGGTATGTAGTGATGGCTGAAGAGGAGTGGGGTGGGTTAAAAGCCACCACCTGAGATTCCCTAACTGTACTGTACTGTACAGGCCCCTTGGCTTCCCAGTCTAGAAGATGCCTCTTGGCAGTATAGTTTAAGCAGAATTACTGAGAAGTCACAAGGAGGTACTGATGGCCACTGGGTTTCCCAGACATCACACACCATTAGGGAAGTGCTGAAGAAAAGAACATGGGCTCTGCAGTCAGACATGGACCTGACTATTAGCTCAGTCTTCAGGATTTGATGCTCAGGTCAATACAAATTCTCTCTGGTACCATCTTTTCAGGTATTATAATACACATGCTTCATAGGATTGTTGGAGTTATTGAATGAGCTGGTGCCTAAAATATCTAACATGCAGCTCCTTAGAGCCTTGAAAATGAGATGAATAGGATTACATTATTCTATGAACTAAACTTTTTGTTATATTGTATGCACTGTGAGTCAAAAATGCTTAGCAGAGGTCTGGCAAGATAGCTCACTCGTTAAAGGCTGAGGCGCGCACATGAAGTCAAAGTATGCAGCAGAAATTTAAAGAAATGAGATTCACTCTCAGGTCAGGTCAGTAGGGTTAAACTGTAATTTGATGAAACTTTTGAATATCAGGAGAGATGGGTGTGGTGCCTCATACCTACAACCCCACATTCAGGAGACTGATACAGGAAGATCAGTATGAGCTGGAGGCCAGCCTGGGCTACATAGTCACTACCAGAGCAGCTTGGGTCACAGAGTGAGAACTTATCTCAAACAACGTCAAAGGAAAATCAATATATTTGTTTTTGTTTTTGTTTTTGGAGACAGGGTTTCTCTGTATTGTTTTGGAGGCTGTCCTGGAACTCACTCGGTAGAGCAGGCTGGCCTCAAACTCACAGAGATCCGCCTTCCTCTGCCTCCCGAGAGCTGGGATTAAAGCCGTTCGCCACCAACACCCCGGCATTATTTTAGACACAACAGGAGTTGGCTATAGACTTTGTGTTGTCTCTTATAGGCTGCATCTGCCTAACACTTAGAAGACAGAAGCTCTTGCATACACCTCCTTGTTTCATCCCAAATGACAGATGCCTATCTCCATGCAAGTGCAGAATCAGATAGCACAAACATTTAACTCATACGGTTGACTGCTTGAATCCTCATTTAAATCCAGAAAGCTTCTTATATAATAAATATACATGGAAAGACTATAAGATAGGTGATTTAAATATTTGTGTGCATATCCAGATTAAATCCCACTGGAAATCAATGTATTAGTTGTCTTTACCTGTTACTCTTGGGAGCTTTGTAAATCTGTCTACCCCTGACCTAAATCCATTCCTTTTGTATTGACTCCATAGGTAGTTGGGTCTACAAAACTGAGAGTCAAACTCTGAACCACACTGAAGGTAGTGTCCTTCCATTCACCTTTATTGGTTTCTTGGGTGATACCCTCATATCTTTTTTCAGATCTGTGTCACAAAGTGGTTTAATATGTTGGCTTATATATTATTCATTTGGAATTTCCTTTTGCATGGTGGAAGTGATGTAATTTTTTTTCTGAGACAGAGTAGTATGTAGTCCTGGCTATTCTGACCTGGACCTCACAGAGAGCCACCTGCTTCTTCCTCTTGAGTCACCATGCCTGACTGGTAATGATATTCTTGAACATCTTAAGCATCTTAAATCATTGTCATTTTGCTGAAGAGGGCCAGAACATCTAAACTTCTCACTGTTGCTGTCTCTGGGCCAGCCAGGCATGACCAGGAACCCTCGTGTAGTGAGTGAGCCAGACCTGGCACTATGTGTAGAGCTCACTCCTTGGAAAAGTTGTTTTGTTGATGTTTTCTTAAAGAAGCTGGAACTCAAAATGAGCTACCGCAGGAATCTAGTTCAGTTAGGAGGATGCTTGCCTAGCATGCACAAGGCCCTGATTTCAATATTGAGTGCCCCATAAACTGGGTGTGGCGGTGCATGTCTTAATCCCAGTGCTTGGGAGGTGGAGGTGGGGGTATCAGGAGTTCAAGATCATCGCTGCCCTTACTCCTTGCTTTTACAGATAAGGAAACATTACTTTAAACCATTTTTTTAAAGAAAGGTCTCACTATGTAGCCCACGTGTGGCTAAGGGCATACATTTTCTTCTGTAAGGCTTTACTGTATTGGCTTGGACTTACGGCTTGTCATTCACATTCCATTTACAGGCTGTGGTAGTTTAAATGTAATTGGCCCCATAATCTCACAGGGAGTGGTACTGTTAGGGAATGTGGCTTTTGTTGGAGTGGGTGTGGCCTTGTTGGAGGAAGTGTGTCACTGTGGGGGTGGGCTATACCACCCAGTGTGAGTTGTCTTCCTGTTGCCTTCTGGTCAAGATGTAGCCAGCACCATATCTGCCTGCATGTCACCATGCTCCCGACCATAATGGTAACTGAACCTCTGGAACAGTAAGCAAGGCACTTCAATTAAATATTTTCTTTATAAGACTTGCTGTGGTCATAGTGTCTTTTCACAGCAATGAAAACCCTAACTGTGACACAAGCCTATCTGATTAGTAAGAAAATGTAATGTTCAAGGACACTTCTCTTTTCTATAGGTCTGTCAACATTCCACCCCCCCCCCCATAGCCCAGGCTGGCCTCAAACTTGTAATCCGCCTGCCTCTTTCAGCAAATCCTACAAGCGTGCATCTTAGGGTGCTGTGGTCTACTTCACCACTTTGAAGACTGGTTTTATGGCAATGATTTTATCTTTTGAATTTGGCAGAAGAGGTGCTATTGAATCAAATTCAGGACCTTACAGTGTTAGGCATGTATTATAGAGTTAGACTCTCAGCCTCAGCTCTATCTTTATAATAATCAGAAATGCCAAATTTGTTATGTTGGTGTCTTTTTTTTCCCCAACATAGCATTCTAATTTGTAGAAATAGGATTTCATAATTTAATGATAAACTTTAACACATCTCTTTAAATAATGATTACTATATACCCATGATAAAATTATATTCAATTATTTTGATCAAAATCTGCAGGCTAAAGACAGAATTTTTCTTTAAATATTTTATTCATGTTTATTTTAATCACAATTTAAATTTCTATTCCTAAGAAAGTTTTTTTCTTTCTTATCCCCTCCTCCCCCTTCATGGAATGTTATTGGGTTTAATGTTAATATTAGCATATTACCTTCTTAGGGTAGCATGACTTTATATAGAGATTTTATAATCAGTCTTGACTATGTAGGAAATGTAATAGGAATTTGCATTTGAATGTACTTTTTCTATAGTATGTATTTACATATTTCCAAGGGAGGAATGAAGCAGCAAATTTGGGCTATAATAAGCAAAATAATTTTGTTTAAGTGACTCAGAGGGTTAATCAAGGAAAAATTATATATATATATACAGCGAAGAAGAGATCAGAAAAAAGGAAAGAAATACACATTTTGCATTGGGGAGCTTTAATAGAAGAGGGATAATGGTAACACACAACTAAAGATATCCCATGGAGGGTGGTTAAGCAGGCACCTGCCCAGAGTGGATAAGGGATTTGGTGAATTTATTAAGATGGAGAGTCAACTGTGCTACCTTCATTTTGAGTGGATATTGTGTTATATGTTACAGGAGAAAGAGAAGAGAGAGGAGGGAGAAAGGGAGAAGAAAGAAAGAGGGAGGGGGAAGCAGGGAGGGAAGGAGAAAGGTAGAGAAACTTGATTTGACATACCCTATAGAAAATTGGTATCCTGATGAAATAAGGAAATAAAGAATGTTGGAAGCCATCAAGAGCAGTGTGGAGTTTGGTATAGTAGGTGATGGAGGATGCCTTTGAAGACTCTAACACATCATCCTGCTTCTATGATCTACCTAGGGAGGGAGAACTTTAAGTCAGAAAGATCAAACTGAGTAGCTGGCTAGGTTTAAAAAAAAATCAATTTTTTGTAGTCATATGTAATCAATTTGCAGAAGAGCTTTTACTCACACAAAACAATTTTGAATCACTTAAAAAAAATGGACTGCCCAAAGTTCTTCCAACCATGGTCAACAATCAATGAAAAATCACTGCTTTGCCCCTGAGACGGCTGTTGATGTCAGTACCTTTGAGTGCGCTCTAATTTTACAGGGTATTTTTATACTGAAACAGGTTCAGAAGTTATTTAGTCCATGTCCTTTTTGGAAGTATGATGTGGGTAGGCTAGAGTAGAGACACTGTTTTTCTGCCTCAAAACATTTATTTTGGGGCTGGAGAGATGGCCTAGCCGTTAACAGCATTGGTTCATCTTCCAGAGGACCTGAATTCAATTCCCAGCTTACAACCAAATATAACTTCAGTCTCGGGGCTTCTGATGTCCTCTTCTGGCCTCCAAGGGCACTGAACGCACATGATGCAAGACATACATGTAGGCAAAATACCCATATACATACAAATAATAAACATTTAAAAAGCATTTATTTTGTTAGTTACTTTCAGAAAGAGAGATAAAGTTGCTTATGCCAACATTTTGGATTATATTGAAAATAGTATCTCTTACAGTAGTTGTTACAGTAAACAATCAGATTTTGTTTTTATTACATCAGTTTATCTCCATCTCAGTTAGACCTAGGAGAAAGAATGTCCAATTTTTTTTATTACCTGTCTAATAAATTCTTTGGCAAATGTTTTGCTTGATAAGATAAAGTTTATCTCTTCCATTTCTGCTTGTTTTTTTCATTTGCCTCTTTGATGCCTCCAGACCTGTTTGTGACTCGCACCACCTCCACAGGCCTGCCCGAGGGAGGTTTCCTAAAGTATTTGGCCTCAGATGATGTCAGTTGAGGCATATTCAAGTGTCTTACCACATTCCTGGGTTTCTGTGGGTTTTGACCCACATGGATTGGTGGTAGATCTCTGTAAGGCACCAGCATGGAAACTACAGGAGTCCTAGGGCCCTGACTGAGGCTGGCTTGTCCGGGATCAGCATTGTTTAAGGTGTGGTTTTCCAAAGCTGCCTGAACTTTTGTGCTCTGACTCTCTCTTCGCTGCCTCCGAAGAACATCGATAAAATAAGGCTTCACTCCTGTTATGGAGTTTATTTCATAAGCATTGTACCTGTCAGCCAGTATTCTCCCTGCTGTAAAGGGCTGGAGAACAGTTGATCCCGGGACATAACTAACAAAATTTTTGAGAATAGAATGCCAAATGCCACCACTTATTGGACTCAAAGTGACCTGGGGCCATAGACTGGCCAGGCTCTGGAGAGCCTCACGGTTCAAGGCCGAGGTAGGAAATTGATTCTCTGTATGATAGAGCTGAGAAAAGAAAATACTAAGAGTGACATCTGGATACATCTTCAGGAAATTGTACATTTTGTTAATGCAACAATGGTTAGCCTCATCACAAGGGGAGTGGCTGGAATACAGAATGATATGCCTAATGTTGCTGCTATAAGATATGACTGAGTCAAGGTAACCATTCCTCTCAAATAGCATTGACTCTGGGTGGTTGGGATTCCCAGTGCAGTTGCTGGCATGGCCCTTTTGTTTCACGTTCCCAGTGGAACTTCTCAGCTCATAAAATGAGAGGTGTTTTATTTGAGGGTATGTTGACCATGGAAATCCAAAAATCTTCTGAAATTCTGTGTAAGGAACCCTTGCTTCTTCTCCTGTCCGAATGTGGTAAGGGCAGTTGGTGCAATCTAGAGAGAAGCTTAGCCAGTAATAAGGCTTGACTATTGTTCCACCATGTGTTATATACTCCTCATACAGTGGCTCCATTGCTAATGTTATTATCTTCAGGTTGCAGATCTAAACAAAGAAGAGAAATGAAAAAACTAGCAGGAAAAACTGAAGACAATGTATAGATTTTTCTAAGCCCTAGTTTCCTGTAGGGAAGCTACCATAATCGCACAATCTCTATTGAAGCACACTTGAGCCTAAAGGTGAGATATATGAGTAGATTATAGAGTTCAAGATTAATTTTTCCTCATTGACACTGTGTCAGGTGGTGGTGAGGGAGACTAGTGAGAAATACAGATTACAACTTTACCTGTTTCCTGGATTCCATGTCTGTACAGAAAATGGGTTAGTAGTAAGTTCTAGACACAAACTGCCTACATTCAAGGCTGTGTTGTTTTGCACCCCAGCTTAATGGTCCTTTAGTTAAGTCCTTTAGCCTCTGAAGCCATAGCTTCCTTGTCTGCAAAGATGATCGTAGTACCTATTCATAAGGTTGTCTTGGAACTTAATAATATCACACATATAATAAATATCAAATGCTTTACTGTGTGCCAGGCATGACTCAACCAAAATTAGCTTAGTGGCAATAGTACAAATCCCATGTCATCTTGGTGATTCCTACTTATAAAAGCCCAAAGAAAGAAGCAGGCCTTTTGTTTCGTTCATGATTTCTTCCCTTTACTCTGATCTGAATGTAGTAGTGACTGGTATACCCAGACATATTGGATACTGGTTTTGAGTGTGCTTGCCTTTTGAATGAGCTGTTTCTTAAAAACATTGGCAGTGACTTGAAGATGTTATCTTTTTCAGAATTGGCTCATAGGAACAGTTTTGCTCAGGGCTTGAGACTTCTAGAAGTACCACTTGTGTATTGTTTGGTTTGTGGGCACACATTCACTCATATCTAAGGGTTTATTTTCAGTTTGTGGGCCCTATTAGAAGGGTTTCAAAAATTAGTCTAATGCAAACAACATACTGTTTCTTCAAAATATAGAAGATCAGCAGTTCCTGGGCTATCCAATTCCAGATGTTGATCCTTAAGTAATTAATGGCCAGTCTTTAAAAATTATTTCTCAAATTACTATTATTGTTTTACCTAGGGCATTATGATGTAGTTGTTAAAGCATTTTGAAGTCATGTGTGAGTACTACATGTTTCTTGTAGAGAATAAGGAATAGTGATGCCATCAACAATTGGAAGACACACTGATACAGATGAATTTTTTTCTCCTTTATGTATCAGTGTTTTGTTCCATAAATGATATGGAAAAATACTAAGAAGGCCTTTTCTGCCTTCATTATCATTTTTAAGCTGGTGTGAGGAGTAAGTATATAGCAACCTGTGACTGCCCTTGGGAAAGTAGAAAAGCAGGAGGTCTTTTTTTTTTTTCCCTTGAGACAGGGTTTCTTTGTGTAACTGGAACTTGCTTTGTAGACCAGGGTGGCCTCAGACTCACAGAGCTCCACCTGCCTCTGCTTCCCAAGTGGATTAAAGGTGTAAAAGTCTTTAGTCTTTTACAATAGAGGCAGCAACATGGAAACTCCTGTGTTATTTCCCAGGCATACCTTTATTTTTACCGCTCTCCTACCTGTGTTTCAGCCTTAGCTAGACACAGCGCATTACTGTCTGGAAGGCAATCTTGGTGACCAATGATTTTGATATAAACCAGGGAGTCTTGTTCTTGTTAATGACAACTAGCTGTCCTTCCACCAGCCTGAAGGAGAAAGCACCATTCCCTTTAAGTTTTCATAGAACTCAAGGTTTATTGTATGAATGTGTTTTTGATTACAGACTACTTATATTGATAATTTTTGTTATCTGTCTCTTTGTTTTTTGCTACCCAGGTGTCCCAGGGCTATCTCAGTAACCTTAACTGGCTCACAAGCCAAGTGGGTTTGAACTTGTCCCTGGCTGCTTGTGTCACCATTGCATGGTCCTTCCCCCTACAGCTTTGTCTCTTGGATTTGTTGGTAGCAAGCATGAGAGATGTGGGGAGCCCAACCTGCCGGAGGATTCTTTTTCTCACATTCAGTGGCGAGTGGTCCTGGACTGTGGCCATGGAAGGACAGACTTCCTCGGCTTAACATACTGAGGACAGGCTGCTCTCGTTCCAGCCAACTATGATCTAGTGAGTGCTGCTAAGGCACAGTTCGCACTGGAGTAATTGGAGAATGGAGTTTGCCCTTCCAATCTGCGCACAATCTGCTCAGAGCTAAAAACAAATGTTAGCAGTTATAATTACCACCGTTTTGTCTCCAGGCTTGGATCACACTCCAGGTGTTAGAGGCACTGGTCCATCTTCTTTGTTTCCTCCCTGAAGTTCCATGCCCTGTTTCACGTAGATTCAGAGGGCATTTGTGCCATAAAGACTCCCTCTGATAGCGTGTCAGGACTCTTGCACAGTTTCTAATTAGTTCTTTTAATTTTTCTGGCCCAAGTTAGTCCTTGCTGAGGTGTGGCTGCCTCTAAGAACACGGTTGAATTGGTGCCATGGTAACGTTTGGAAAGTAGCTACTGCTAGGATACGGCTCTAACACTTATTACTTTATTTGCATATCAAACCACCTGTTCCAAAGATGAAAATATACATGTCTGCTTGCTTATTCCAGCCTGAATAAAAGGGTGATATCTAATTGTTTAAGTGAATCTGTTGAAATTTTTCCTCTGTATCTGTAAGAATAAAATCTAAGGTTGTCTTCTCAGCCCCTTCTCTCACATCTAGAATAGATGCCAGGGTCACTTCGTGAACAAGATTTGGGGCTTCTGTTGTCTGTATAGGCTCAAGGGGCCACTCCTTGGGAGGTCTGCCTTTCTGTGACATTAAGCTGACTTGATTTTGAAAGATAGCCCAGTTTGGACAAACAGACCCATACTTTACAAAGGGATCTTTTTTGTAACATTAAAAACGATTTATTTATTTTATATGTATGAGAATTTTGCCCTGCTTATGTACATGCACCATGTACACACAGTATATGAAGAAGCCAGAAGGGTGAGTTTGAACTCCTGGAACTGCAGTTACATACCTTTGTGAGCCACCATATGGATGCTGGGAACTGAACCCAGGTCCTTTGTAAGAGTAGCAAATTCTCTTAACCACTCAGCCATCTCTCCAGCCCCAAAAGGGAGTTCTTGACTCAGTCTAAATGAGTTTATGGGAAGCGCCAGCACTTTGCATTGTCTGAGAAGTTCCCTGGGCAACTCTTGCTCCTTGTATGTGTAGCGCTGTCATAAGACAGCTTGGCTTCTGGTGCAGCAGCGGCCCTTTCTCTTCATCCTTCTTCTCTCTCCCTGGCCTATTTGCCCCTCACCGTCTCTCAGACACCAGGGTGCTGCGAGATGTGATCCATTCTGCTCTTTCCCCTCGTTCTCCCTCAGGCTGCTTGAATGAGTAAGTGGTGGTTCTGTGTTTATTTCCATTGGTCACTGCTGACAGCTTTTAAGCAAAGGTACTATCTCCTCAGGGAGAGCAAGCCCCCAGAAGCCCCTTCTGCCTCTTGTATTGGTTTTGTGTCATGCTTCCATTGCTTGACTTTGGTGGCTACTGGCCACACTGAGGACAGGCTGCTCTCTCAGTAGTCCTCTCTCAGCCATGGCATTCCTTGGAGGCTGGTATGTTATCTTGGGTTCTGCACTTTCTGAGGCTGTCATGTGCACTCCCCAAGCCTCAGCTAACGACACTCAATTACTTTTCCCTGCCTGGTTTCCTTGGCACATGCACTGTTACACCTCATCCTACCCCACCTTTGGCCCTTCTTGGTTTTGCTTTTGTGTTCAGAGCAGCTCCTCACTGAATGAGTTTACAAATGACTGGAAGTTGATTCTCATATCTCATCTTCTGCTTAACTCTAACAAATGATACCCTGATATACAATATTAATTTAAAAAGCCTGTTTGTGGTGGTTTATGCCTTTAATCTAGAACTTGGAGAACGTGGTGAAGTCTGGCAGATCTCCGGACTTGTAGATGTCAGTCTTGTAGCAAGTTCCAGGCTAGCCAGGGCTATGGAGTAAGACCTTATCTCAAAAAATTTTAAAAAGTGGTAACTTTAGAAATCTTTTGGGATGCTTATGTAATAAAAAAGTATTAACTGTGCCAGAGGCTCCAGTCAAGGTAGGAAAAGGAGTTAACAAGTCCCATGGTCTCTATATGGTCATCCCCTTGTGTGTCATGCGCCTTACGTGATGGGTTGTACACTAGGTAAATCAAGTCAGAAAGAAAGTTAAACTGGAGGAAACAGGAAACATGAGCCTTGTAATACCAACCAATTGTGTAGTAAGGTGGTTTTAGGAAGTTCAATTATATTAAAAATATATATTAAAATTCTAATTATCACATCATAATGGAATATACTTATGTGTAATGACCATCAGCTCTTTATTATTTCTCTGAGTAGGGAACATTAGAAATCCCTACACAATTTTGCAGCACACAATTAATTACTGCTAGCCATGGTTAATTGTCTATGCTGTAGAACATTAGAGATGGGTCCTTTCATTTGTTCCCTGTCCTCTGTCAACCCTCACCATTCTCCTTTCCTTGCCCTCCCCAGACTTTGGGAACTCCAATTTTACAGTCTTCTATGAAATCAACTTTTAATATTTAACGTGTGAAAACATAATATTTGATTTTTTGTGTGACTTACTTAACATTATATCCCCCAATTCCATTCTGACTGCAAAGGCATCCTCTCCTCTCACCCCCTCCTTCCCAGTCTTCCCGTCCCCCGCAGAGTGTGGGTGCTCATGTGTAACGGCACCTGTGTGGAGATCATAGGATGACCTTGGGTGTGGGTCCTGGCCGTCTACCTTGAGACAGGGCTCCACGTGTTCACTGCTGCTGTCACTAGATTTGCTGATCTGTGATTCTCCTGTCTCTGCCTCCAGTGTCCAGTGGACACCTGCCAGAAGGGAGAAGTTTCTATCTTAGCCCATCTGCCATGTCTCATCTTCATTCTGATGAGCTGTGTGTATTATCCACGTAAAATATGAAATTAGAATGAAGATTATAAAATCTACATTTACAAAGACCTTCACTCAGATGACTATGTCAGTCGGTGATCTGGCAGCCTGATTGGGGATACAGCCAAGATGGTTGTGGTTGCTGAAGGCTGTATAGGAAGTGTTTCCCTTTTTGGGTGACAGAAGTAATTTATATTGTATTACTTGCGTTATTAACTTTTATTTGAGCACACTGTGCTCAATTAATGATGTAATTCATTCTGTGGTGGTTGACATTGCCAGTGCTCAGATATGTAGCAGTAGCAAGTCACCTGGAAATAGAACCGGAATTTAAAAGGCAAGTTTGAAGTGCGGAAGGGCAGAGGGCAGTAGGCTTTGGGGAGCTCTCCAGGCAATTTGATGGGAAAAGTAGAAAGGAAAAGTGTTGGCCTGGAAGGAAAGGATGACAGAAGAGTACAGGAACATTGGTGGATGCTCAGCCTGTAACCCCAGCACTAGGGATGCAAAGGCAAGAGGATGAGGAGGAATTCGGGGCTATCATTGGCTATGTAGGGAGTTCTAGGCCAACCAACCTGGGCTACATGAGCCCTTGTCTCGGGAGGGCGTGGGAGTTGGGGGTGGAGCAAAAGATGGACCTTCTAGGTTGGGTTTGTAGACAAAATGGCCACAGGGTGGCAGCACAGTCCAAACAGCAGGGACTGGTTTGGCAGGCTTTTCTTAAGAATGCTTTAGAATTCTTCCCCCATTTAGATTTTCCCCCATTGCCAAGGAAACAAGAGCAAATGCTCAGGATTAAAGGGAGGGGAAGGGTAGGGAAAGCCTCCATTGGGACCTCTGTATGGTAAGCTCCAAAGGAGGCTTCAGCCTGGCAAGACTCACTTAAAATTACTTCTAAAATAGATCTAAAATACAATCATTCTTTTAAAATGTACTAAAAATTATTTTATGAAAGAACAAAATGGCCAATAAGCATAAGCTCATTTTTTATAATTAGTCCAACAGTCTATACTTTAAAAAATTAGTGCTTAATAAACATAAACAGAATAGTTGTCAGTTTTGTTTTCTCCTGGCACTAAGAATTGAACCCGTAGATTTGCGTGTGCTAGACGAACATTCTGCCTGGGAGCCGTGTTCCCAGCCTTGGGCTTACCTTTGTTGCTTGTGCCTTTGTTGTTATAGATGAGAAATGATCACCAAGACCAATGTGGTAAAGATTATACCCCAGTTTCTTCCAGAGTTTTAGTTTCCAGTCTCGGTAGTTAGAACTTTAACCCATTTTAAGATGATTTTTTTTTGTGCTCAGTGTGGGACAAAGCTTCAATTTCAGCCTCTGGATTATAAATATCCAGCTTTCCAGCAACATTTGTGATGTGAGTATCACTTCCCACTGCATTGTGGTAGTACCCTTGCTAAAATTCATTTGACCAGGTATGTCTGAGTTTATTGGGGGACTCTGTGTTCTGTTTCGTTGGTCTGTATGTCTGCCACTGTGCAAAAACAAACAGAACAAAGAAAAGATTTTCTCTGTAGAAGGAGTAGAGAAATGATACAGAACGCTTACTGAAGTTTGTACGTAGGTGATTAACACTGAGAATCACTGTGATTCACGATAGTTGGTTCTTTCCTTTCACTTGTCGCCAGGCCTGGTCTCTGGTTATTTCTGCTGCAGTGCTGTGTACTTCAGTCTAGCTGGCCCATGAGCTTCTGTGTGAGTCTCCTGTCCCCACGTCTCATCTCAAAATAGGAATGTGGGTTACAGTTGTAGAGCATTGCATGAGACTTCTACATGAGCTTCTGTGTGAGTCTCCTGTCCCCACCTCTCATCTCAAAGTAGGAATGTGGGATTACAGTTGTAGAGCATTGTATGAGACTTCTACATGAGCTTCTGTGTGAGTCTCCTGTCCCCACCTCTCATCTCAAAGTAGGAATGTGGGTTACAGTTGTAGAGCATTGCACGAGACTTCTACATGAGCTTCTGTGTGAGTCTCCTGTCCCCACCTCTCATCTCAAAATAGGAATGTGGGTTACAGTTGTAGAGCATTGCATGAGACTTCTACATGAGCTTCTGTGTGAGTCTCCTGTCCCCACCTCTCATCTCAAAGTAGGAATGTGGGATTACAGTTGTAGAGCATTGTATGAGACTTCTACATGAGCTTCTGTGTGAGTCTCCTGTCCCCACCTCTCATCTCAAAGTAGGAATGTGGGATTACAGTTGTAGAGCATTGTATGAGACTTCTACATGAGCTTCTGTGTGAGTCTCCTGTCCCCATCTCTCATCTCAAAGTAGGAATGTGGGTTACAGTTGTAGAGCATTGCACGAGACTTCTACATGGTCTGGGAATTGAATGGGGCCTGCAGACTTGCTCAGCTAGCAGTTTTAGCCCTGTGATATCTCTCTGACCCCAAAACTGTATTTGCTGTGCTGTGTTCACACATTTTACAAACCTTCTATTAATACGTTCATGTTTAAAGTCTTTATTGTGACCAGCTAATTTGCTGTATTTGTTTAATCTGTATTGAAT